TTATTTTCCTTCTAAAGAACACCGGCTAACGATTTAATTTCTTTTATTTTTATTGAACCTTACAGGATAGCATGTAATTACAACACAAATATCTTATTTAAGGTGGACAAAGGCTCCAATCCTAATTTCTTCGCAGTTACATCTGAAGCAGTTGATGGAGATGGTGACCTTTCTTTAGTTGAAATCCAAACAAGCAATTCGACTTGGGTACCTATGCAGCGAATGATTGGGGCAACTTGGAGTGTTGGCATACAACCAGACACACAGAAACCTCCTTTTTCCCTGAGACTTACTTCAGAAACAAAGCAAAGTGTCACTGCCCCGAATGTCATTCCAGACGGCTGGCAACCAAGATCAATTTACAAATCAAATGTCAATTTTCCCAGTAATCTATAGGGTGAAAGTATTTAAGAAGGGAACAATGTGAGGGTACCATGTAGATTGTTGAATACCATTTATTTACCTACCCTATCAAGTATAATTAATAAAGTAAAAATACCTTCTTTAATTTATTTTGAATATGCGACTAATTTTATTTCATGCCTTTTCTTTCTTTAAATATTTAAAAATATGCGACTAATTCTATTTCATGCATTTACTTTAATTTTAGCTCTCTCTAACAAATAAAAATGGCTGCTGCCTTTGTTGTAATTACTTATTTTCAGAGAAAGATGACGGGACAAAAACTCAAATGGTCACATATACTTTTTTTAGTTCTTTATGTGGACTGACGGGAGATAACTGGGGAGAGGCTAATGGTGAAAAGAAGAAAGAGGGGAGAGGCGAGTAGTGATGGGCAACGAGGTGCTTTTTCCCTTTTCTTTTTCATTTTAAATTTTTTCTTTTGAATTTAGTATTTTTTTAAATCAAAATATTGTACTCACGCGCATTTTCTGCGTGATTGGCATACATTTTGTCCACATTACCTATGTCACTGCCACGTAGCATAGTCAACAATCAAAGTTGTTTATTAATATTCTTTCCGTCAAGTTGAGGTGTTCAAATAAGAAAATTTTAAATTTGTTTACCATGTTGACAATTAGGTACAAATTTAAGTGGCCAGGAGGCCATTTTGCTATGTTTGTTCAGGTTTTAATATTTTCAAGCACGAATTATTCTCCTTTGAATTGGAATTACGATTTAGATTTTGAATTTTTATGTTTGGACATGCTATTTTTAAATATTATGTTTTAAAGTTTTATCCATTACTAATACTAAAAATTATATTTAAGAAATTTAATATTATTACTTCTCATTCTCTATAAAATTTATTTTCTCACCATAAAATACAAATATTCGATTATGTTAATTATCTTATAAGACATAACCGAATAACCAAACTGAAAAAATTTAACCGGAAAGAGAAAAATCGAACCAAACCAAAGTTATTTTGGTTCGGAGTGGATTGCGCTTTTCTAAAACCAAAACCGAATAATGCAACACTGAAAGATAGAGAAAACTGAAACTCATATGTATACGGGCACACCTGTATTGTGAGAAAATATTTGGAAGTACAAAATTAATTAAAGGTTTCGAAAGAGCTAACCTATTTATTTATCTATAGAAATCTTGATACCAATAGTGTCCATAAACACTGATCAACAATTATCTACTGTACTACACAAGAACCGTTATGGTTGAAACATATGTTGTAGTAGACTCGAAATTTACTGATCAAAGTAATTTATCTGTCAATTTACACTACAATAAACTCGAAGTTAAGGATAATTTTCCTGAACTCTAATATTTCTATCCCAATATCTCTCAATACCAAATAAAAAAAAGAAAGAGCAGCTCGGTTTACAAAGCATCCAGCATTCGCGCAGAGTTCGGTGAAAGGCCACAACCCAAAGGGTGTGATGTAGAGAGTTACTTGGTTCAACGATTGTAAAAAAGTTTATATATAAATCCCATTAGTGGCACTTAAATCATTTTTTCTGAAGCAACTGATATTAAACAGTCCAAAAGGGTTTTCAAATTAGACTTCTCCATTATTTATAATGAGCTCAAAGACATACAACAAATATCACTGGCAAAGAAACAACACTCTAAAGTTCTGCAATAAAGATGAACCATAATAACTCAGGTAAAATTCATGTCTCAGATATTGGGGTAACCAGTAATTTCATAGTAGTTCTTCCTAACAATCTCAATGAATTCATACCGTCCCTCAAATCTGAATTACTAGTTATCAAAATCCAATCATCGTCGTCATCTTGATACTTGATTGAACACCTTTGAAGTGATATGTTAAACCTCTTTTCCACTTCCACCTCCAGTTCTACCCTGGTTGCTGAAGGGGAGAGTTGAAACTTAATGATATCGCCTCTATATGTAACCTTTAAAGTCATCAGATTATCACAAGGTTTTTCTGTTGCAGCCGGCGCCAAAAGATCTGTGCCTTTTTCATGGGACAGATCAGGACATTGTTGAGTATCTTCCACATATTGTTCAGCACTTTGTAGAGATACGCCTTGGCTAACACGGCGATAAACCTTTCTGGTCTTATGATGTGGCCATCTAGAGATATTGTATTCTCTACATACTCGTTTCAGTGTTGATCGACTAACTACAAAAAACAAGTTCCAAAAACGGATTTCAGTGAACCTTAGCAACACTCATCTCATCTAATTAAAGAGCATACAGACATATTGATCTCCATTCCAGTTTATGTGGACCTAGTCACTTTTGGATTATATTAACTCGATATTTTAAAATTCAAAATTTAGATATTCAAAAACTATACGCAAACTACTATAAGTTACAATTTTTTTCATGTTAATATGATGAAAAAAATAAATTTCTAGAATGTCGGTCAAATTTTACATAGTTTGAATCTCGAATAGAGAGGGGTTGCTCTGATGGTAAGCAACCTCCACTTCCAACCAAGAGGTTATGAGTTCGAGTCTCNCAAGAACTAGAGAATTTACCTGACTAACATATGGCCTCCTAGATGTATTATCTGCATGCTCCAATCCAAGGTACTGCTCCCAAGCATCATAAACATATCTCCTCTGCAACAGGAATATAAGCATCTTCAGCATGGACAGAATTTGGAAAACAAAGAAAACACAACTAAAGCTGACCCAAACACTTATACGTAAGTTGACAATGAAATTCAAGGGGACGAAGAAAATACAAGATAACATCAATACACTACCTGAAAGCGGCTGGATACAATGTCCGTATCCTGAAGGTATTCAGGGTGCCCCAATGATAAAAATGCAAATTTCCACTAGCCATCAAAAGAGTGCAGAGTCAACCCCCAAGTCAGTCATAGGGCTTTCAAAAATTAAACCACCATGCTATAAGTATGCAAGCATATTCCATCTGCAGCAAAAGCTTTGTGCTCACGCACTGTACCTTAGAAAACTCCTCATCTGGAACCTGCAATTTCTTTTGAATGCGCACTTTAATCTCCGCTAAAGTTTCACCTTCATGGATGACCAGAAAGAAAGGTTCTCCAAAATTCTGCACTGGCTGTAGAAAACCAATCTAGTTACTAATTTCAACATCAGATGCAGCAGTGTATCAGTAACATCAATCAAGCCAATATGTAATACCATTTGATTTTGTGGAGTCTCTTTCGTGAAATGGTAAACATGAATTAGACGATCATGGGGACCAAGATTTTTCTCCTCCTCTGGTATCTGCAAAAAATAAAATAAAATAGATGCAGTAGTAAGCAAGTAGACAAGACTAACTTATGCCATAAATATCATCATTAATTGCCCAGATTGAACTGTCTAAAGCAGAGAGGTCAGTGGAACAGAAGGCCTAACAATTAAAGCTGACACACGAAAGCATAGCAATCAAATTAAAACCCAGACCTTAGATTCTCCATTTTGAAAGAGGGTGGGGGAGGAATGGAATATTAATTCAAATCTCTGCTTAAAGTTTCAAAACCTCACCAGTTTTCTTTATTTTGTTGAAAAAAGAGAGGTAAAAAAACCAGAAGGAGATGAGGAAAAGAGAAAAAAGAAGAAACCAGCCAGACAATACCTAGAGAACTAACCTCCTCTGCCCGCAATGTCCAATACTGGTCATTTATATTCTCAAACTTTTCAGTGAGCGGAAAGATCTGGCAGATTAGCAATAATGAAGCATGCATTAGATAGACAGACAAAAAAAACATATAAGCTAGCGGTGCAAGTCTTAAAAGGCCATTTAGCTATCAAATTAAAATGTCAACACAAACATAATAAAAGATAAAAGTATTGAACTTATATTAGGATTACTCACCTTAAAAATCTTGTGATAGAAGATTTCGAGTAATCTAAGCTCTGCATTTGGATGGGACAACTCTACCTGTTGCAGCAACCAATATTATATGCCAGTAGTTATATCCTCATACCAAACAGAAGCCATCATTAAACAGAAACATTAGACATAGAATATTGGTTGCACAATATACATGACAGATCTAAATCTCGTATTGCCAGTCAAGCTCCGTATGCTGTTTTCCTTTTTCCTTTGTAGATAGGAGGCAGGGAGAAGACAGGGAGGCAAATGTCCTCAAAAAAATGCATGTAGAATGATTTTCTTCATAATATATACACCGATAAAAAACATTAGGGTGCACATTCACTACAAATCCTTTATTAATGGTTCAAATAAGATAATCTGATGGGAAAGAGAGTACTCCCCTCGCCTAAAAAAAGAAAGATTGCCATCTTCCAAAGTAAAACAAATTCACAAAAAAATTGCCAACCCCCACATGTCAAAAATAGTGAACTTTCACATACTCAATTATGGTCAAACAAATTGAAAAGCAAAAGTTGTTAACTTGTACTTCTCATGCCCCTTCTAAATCTGTCAAAAGACAATTTGATCATTGCCAATCTAGCATAAAAAACTGTCAATCTGACCCTTGAGAACCAAAATATGACAATCTGATTGAGGGAAAAGGGTATTAACCAAAGTAGCAGAAAAACACACACTCTCGTAGTGTAGGAAATGAATGCAAATACCAACTCTTCAATTATTATTTTTTTACTAAGCCTCGATCCCAATCAAGTTAGAGTAGGTTGACTGTTCAACTCTTCATTATTAAGGTAAATAAATAACACGAGTTAGACAGGACTGTATCCTTTTCCTACATGTTCTCCACAAACCCTGAATCCATCAAAAAACATTCATTAATGCATAAAGTACCTAAAATACTTTATCATCTAGACATAAGAAATCTACCACATTAGGAAACTGTTTTTTTCCTGCTGGGTGCAGAAATTGCTTTCTTCCTTTCATAGACTCAATATTGCAATTCAAGTTGCTACACCTATCTATACCTTTGATTTGATTCCATTAAGAAAATCCCTCACGGTACTCTGCTTAGGCAATCTTACATTCAAAATTTCAACCTGAAAGCAGTGGGAAAAAAATGTAATGAGGAAAAGTAATAATTTGATTTGATACAAATGATTTTTCCATACTAGACACACCTCATCCTTCTTAGAATGATGAAAATCAACTTTGAACGTCTTCAGACATTGTAATTCTGGCAGAGGAATGTCCAGAACTTCGTAATAAAGAATATCAGAAATCTACCACCCACCCAAACAAAATGAGATGTGGTTAGTCCATTGGCACATCAGATCCTACCAAAATAGTATACCACTGTCCACTGCTATGATGAGTAAAGCGTTAAACGTCACCATGTGCTCCCAAGATAAAGTCAGTTCATGTTAACAAACCTGATTGTCATGGATTAGCATGTCTACCAAATGATCCACGGACCGATATTTGATGGGGTTAGGCTTGGGTTGCTGAGAGTAGTAGTTGTGTGGAGTAAGCCTAATTTTGGAGGGATCATCCACACCAAGCCGCTGCGCCACTCTCTCCACTACATCATCATATGTATCACTTTTTGCTCTGTAATTTAAAAAAACAAATAGTTGTAGATGTAAGCAAATGCTTTGCCATAAATTGAAAGATAAGATACCAAATAAACTTACAACTCCAGACAGAAATCCTCCTCCTTCGGTTTCTCCAGTGCTCGAAAGTGGACAAGCTGTAAACAACGAACTCAGATTTAAGGAATCAAAAACGGAGAAAGTAAAACATAAAGAAAAGAGCCAGTTGTACGGTGTACGCAAGCATAAAACATAAATTAAGGCGAGAAAGATGTTACATATACAGTAACAACAATGATGCAACTAGTCAAAGCAAAAACCCAGGGGAGATTTGAAACTTATTTCCTTTGGCACCGCCATAGAGGACCATAAACCCAAAAAATAAAGGATAAGAATTAACATCAATTTAGCCATGTTTTATTTCCTGTAAAGGAAAAAGACAAATTCTCATGTCACGTCAATAAGATCGATAACTGTATCAATTTAGCCATGTAGTTTCTCAAGAAGTGTTTGACTCCGCATGAATTCTAAAATTTGAAAAAAAAAAAAAAAACTTGTACTCTTAAATTTTCATAATATTCTGATTATGAAAGTACAGAAATACACTTTAGAAAATGATATTTCTGATTATAACTAAAAATAAAATGATATTTTTGATTATTTAAGATATATGTCATTAGAAATAAAATAAAGATATTTAAACTAATAAATAAAAATATAGAAACAACAATTACCTTCCGTGGGAAATTCAGAATTGCTCTGCTCCCTCTTAGTTTAAGCGCTGCACGATCATATGCCATGGCTGCTTCTGTTGCAGTATCAAAAGTTCCAAGCCAAACCCGTTTCCCTTTTCGGGTCGGGTCACTAACCTCTGAAACAAATTTCCCCCCTGGCCTTTGCCTGATCCCTCTGTAACGCTTCAAGGTATCTTCCATTTTCTGAACTGAATCCTCTGTTTTTCCCTCGAATTTAAATCTATTTAATTCAGTTTTTGAATCAAAACTAGTGTTGGTTTCTGATGAGCCGTAACTTACCAAAAAAGCATCATCATCAAGAAGAAGCTGAGTTATCAAATCTAGTGTTGACTGTTGTAGAGAAGCCATTTTAGATCTTTACAGAAAAAGAAGAAGAAAACAACTATGGGACAAGAGAGAATCTTAGTTTTCTAGTACAATATATGGAAGAACTCAAGGAAGCGAATTGGGTGGAAATGAAAGAATGAAGAGGAAGATTAATTAATCAATATTTATAGCAAAGTAACTTTTAAAAAAAAAAAAAAAAAAAAAATTGACCTTTGAATCAGTTGCCGAAATGCCGACTACTTATTCTTTTGGGTTCAAAAGATTCAAATGTATCCTTTTGGGTTCAAAAGATTCAAATGTATCCTTTTGGGTTCAAAAGATTCAATTATGAGCCTCCTTTTATTTATCCTATAGTTTTCAAGCGTGTTTTTCGCATTTATATGCTCCTCTTACCATTTTGGGAAGTTGTTCAAATTTAAAATAGACTCTTGAGGTGCTTGTGATTTATCTAGCTTTAGCAAGTCTAGCACTATATTAGCTTTAGCAAGTGTATTATCCTTAATCTTCAAATTCGAGATTTCTGATTAAGAGAAGAATTCCTACCGTCTTACCACATCATAATAAAATTAAGTAGACAAGTTACTACCTATAAGTAGAGGTGGTAAAATGGTTAAAAGTAAACAATTATTCACTCATATTATCCATCAAAAAATAGGTTAAATAATGAACCATTTAAAAACGGATCGAATATGGATAAAGAACCATATTATCCACTTAGAAAATGATAAACCAAATGGATGACTAATGTGTTTAACTTTTACACTGTAAAGCCTCAAATTGCAGTTACTCAAGTTTTGAAGACAAGGAATTCTCTCATAAATGATCATATTTAAGAAGCTATGGATAATATGGATATCCATATTATCCGCCGGATATACCTATTTTTATCCGTCTCAAATACGGGTCGGGTTGGATAATTTATCCATTTTTTAAACTATCAATTTTGACCCGCTCATATCCGACCCGACCCGCCCGTTTGCCACCCCTACCTATAATTTATGAGTTCATTGAAAATCCGATATTTTCAGAAAATTCGCTAGTGAAACATGGTAACATTTATCTAAAATCCGACTCAAATTTCTCGAATAAGTAAATTGGCAGACTTTCCTCACGTATAATAACGAAATCTACTCTATCACATGGCCTTTAAAAAAACCATTATCGTGTAATCAATTATATAGCAAAACTCTTTCAATTCTATTCTTTTTTTTTTTTTTTGATAATGCAATAGTTATATTATATAAAGACTAGAAATTATTTTTGGTACATGCACTTTGAAAGTAAAACTTGTCACAATTTGGTGGGCCAAAGTTTGTGACATTTTGAGTTCCTAGAAGTTTTAGTCTATTACAAATGGAAATGTCTAGTGACTTCTTCTTGTAGTGGTGGACAACATCCAGATCCTTTGCTAGCTGTGAGGTCACAAAATGAGGCGGAGTTGGATGTAGTTTTGTTGTATCCTTACATGGTTTCCAAAAAGCATCTTTACATGCATCTATTGCCAAAAAGTGTGCTACTTGGTTTCCTTCACGGAAGTTATGCCGTAGGAACAGGTCCTTCTGCTGAAGCATCAATAACCTGCATGAATGAACAATATTAGTCATGACAAAGTGGCCTTGGTTTAATGCATTGATGACTTCCGTGAAATCTGTTTCTATTTCTAATGGAAACAAATCGTAAGTAGTTTCTATTCTTATTCCTTCATGGATTGCTTGGAGTTCTGAGTGTAAAGGTGAAAGAGCATTGTCTATTTTTTTTGAAACCCTAATATCCATTTTCCCTTGTGGTTTCTAAAGACTCCTCCAATACCAGATTTGTTTCCTTTATGTTTGAAGCTTCCATCAGTGGTAAGTTTGTACCAGTCACGTTGAGGGGGGTGCCATTTTATGTCAATAATGGATTTATCCAAGGGTGTTGAACCAGTGGAGTTGAAAAAGAGGAACTCAAAATCCAATTTGTAAATGTAATTCATGCGGGGGGGGGGGGGGGGGGTGTTATTGACATTGTTGTTATTTCTATTAATCTAAATTCCCCATAAAAGGCTCATTAGGGGTCAAGTTTGTAGTTTGAAGTTGTCTCCATATGCCCGAGACAATGGGACATGTGAGGAGATGTGAGTGATGGTTTCCTCTTGATCTTGGAAACTAGGGCAATTTGGGTTTATGTTGATGCCAATATGGTGGAGATATGAACAGTAAGAAATTTTATTGTGAAGGATTTGCCAAATGACGTATCTTATTTTATTAGGATAAGACAGTTTCCATATCCACTCAAACTCATGATTAGTTCTTATGTCCCAGTGGTTCAGAAGATTATAGCAAGATTTTGTATTGAATAAACCGTTTGGGCTAGGTCTCCATAGAGGTTTATCTGAGTTTTGAAGATGTAGGGGTATTGAATTGACTTTGTCCACGATTGAGGGTGGAATAGTAAAGGAGGTTTTGTCAAAATTCCATTTCCCTTTGTGGTATAATTTCTTGATGGGAAGAGTGTCCTCATTTTGTCTAAGAGGACCTTCGATGCAAGCTCTCAATGTTGGTAATTGTGGGATCCATTGGGTCTCCCAACTGTTTAGGTTAGAGTTTTTGCCAGGGAGCCATTGAATTCTTTGGCTACAGGTTTTCCAACCATTAAGGACACTTTTCCATATGAAGGAGGAGTATTTGAAGCTTTTATTGCAATATTTGCGGATTAGGAGATTAGCCTAGGGGGAGGAAGTATTATTAAGTAATCTCCAAGATAAGCTACTTAGTAAGACTTTGTTTTTTGATTGGGCATCTTTCATTCCTAGACCTCCCAAAACTTTATGCTTGGTAACAATGTTCCAATTAACAAGGTGAAGCTTTTTCCGATTCGAAGTGGTGCCCCAAATAAAATTTCTTTGAGTTTGATCAATTTGTTTAAGGGTTTTCTTGGGGAGCAAGGTGTATTGCATACCATGGTTTGGAATAGAATTGAGGGTTGCAAGAGCTAAGGTAGTCATTCCTGCTATGTTGAGGAAGTTTGTTTTCCAATTGGAAAGTTTAGCCCGCATTTTTTCGATAATGAATTGGTAATTAGAAACCTTGGGAGCATTGTTGAAGATTGGAAAGTCTAGATAGGTACCAAGTTTATTAGTAATCTTAATGTTGAATCCTAAGGCAATTTCTTTGGCAAATTGAGTGGGACTGTGAGCACGTGATTTTTGCCTTACGAAAAACTACTCCAAAATAAATCAAAAATAAAATAAATTTCTTTTACTGTGCAATTTTTTAATTTTTGCGTGATGTTTGTTAAAAAATTGTCTTATATCCGTAAATGTTTATTTTGTCATAACAAAATGAAAATAAAATAAAAATATATGTTTCATGCATATCTAGGATTTAATTATGCATTTAATAATTGATTCAAAATAAAATCACAAAAATATGCATTTTTATTTTTATTTTTCGTCATATTAATTGTGTCATTGTGTGATTAATGTTTTATCTACGTGTTAATGGTTATTAAAAGGTAATTAGTATTATTGTAATGATAATTTTTTGTTTTTATAATTTTGATTAGGATTTTATTAATTAAGAATAAATTTAGGAAATAAAAAATAGGTTGAAAACATAAAAAATATCGGACCTGGATTAAAATCCAGGCCCAAACCAAGTTACCCCCCCACAGCCCAAATCAAACGAGCCCATGTCTGGTCCAGTCCAAAGGAGTCAAAACGACAACGTTTGGTCGTAGTTTATCATGGACCGTTGGATC